AAAAAAACCCCACTTTAATTCTCAAGGTTTCTAGTGTTTTCATTACAGTGCACTAAGTAAATACTAATTTTACTATTTTTTCTATTTTCATTGGTAACCAAAAGAAGAGAATTTTAAATCTTTTGACAAATATATATAAAGGTTCCAGAAAAATGGTCATTTTTTCCCTTGATTACTAAGATCATTTTGTACAGTTTCAGCTTGCAAGGTTATTTTTATAATCCTGAACTGTGTAAAGTGAGGACTGCCTACACTCCTAAGAGAATGCCTTTCGGTTTCTCTTTTAATAGACATATGTGCAAATGTATTCAATCTAGAATTAGGTTTCTCAGTTTTAATACTTACTTTATTTCTGTAAAATTGCCCCATTAGCTTTAATCAATTAGTTATTGGTCAAGTTTGAATATATAATTTTTACATTTTTCTTTAGATGTGTTAATAAAAGAAACAATGAGCTAATACAAATAAGCTACAGATATAATGTTAACTTTTGAACTTTTGAGCACACACACTGCAGTTACTTACTCTTTCAAGCCAATAAAGAGATGTGTGAAAGGTTGAAGACCCAAAATTTTCTCCTGAAGATGGTGAAGGGTAGGGGTGTGGTAAATTTAATCCCAAGTAAAGAACAAATGGTTCAGTATAATTAATTGCTTCCTTTTTTAACCAATTTATTGCTCTGTCTGTATTCTTCCAGTCTTTTTCCATCACTCGTACTTTAGTCTTATTAGGGATAAGATTAACCATAGGCCTGCCTTCTTGTCTGAGTAAGAAAGCAACATCTCTTGTCCATGCTTCCACACGATTACTGAGGGAGCAAAATGAAAGAAAAAGGTATATTGTAAGGTATTTAAAAAGTTTTAAAAACTAAGCATACACATGTGAAAACAACATGGAAAACAAACTTTAGACTCAGTCATGTAAAAGTTCACAGTAATTATATTAGATCTTGATATGAAAGTTTTTGAACATTATAAATTCAAAAATCAGGAAAAAACACGAATCAAGTGTTCACTTATGTGTTCTTTAAAACTATGACAGATTATTTAGAGGGGTTACTTTTTCCTACAGCAAAATATTTAGTCAAAAAATGTTTCAGATTCCTAATATTTTTCCTTAGTCATTGAATTTTCTAGCATTTTCTTTTTCTCTAGAAAGATGGTATTCTAACCAAAGCTATTATAATTTCCTTCTACCCCTAAGTCTTTATATTTTTAAAATCCTACCTACCATGTATACTGCATGTGTTCCTGAAGTTTCAGGTTTTAAATTGTATCTAGCTCTATCTTTTCTCATTAAAAGAACAATTTTAACTATAATCCGAGCTATCTGTGATGCTTCTTATTATTGATATAAACTAGAGATATTTTCTTTATTAGCTGATTTGTAAGTTAAATGATTCAATTAACTCAATTTCTCTAAATCTTTAGTCTATTTTATTTTACTGCTTGATTTTTTTCAATCATTGTTTAAGCATATATAGCTGACATAATTGTTTTTTTTTTTTTTTTTTTGAAAACGAGTCTCACTGTGTTGCCCGGGCTAGAGTGCCGTGGCGTCAGCCTAGCTCACAGCAACCTCAAACTCCTGGGCTCAAGCAATCCTTCTGCCTCAGCCTCCTGAGTCACTGGGACTACAGGCATGTGCCACCATGCCTGGCTAATTTTTATATATATATATATTTTTTAGTTGTTCAGCTGATTTCTTCCTATTTTTTTAGTAGAGATGGGGTCTCGCTCTTGCTCAGGCTGGTCTTGAACTCCTGAGCTCAAATGATCCGCCCACCTCAGCCTCCCAGAGTGCTAGGATTACAGGCATGAGCCACCATGCCAGGCCTAGCTGACATAATTGTTTAGGAAGTAGTCCTGGGCATTTCTAGGAAGCTTATTTTTACAAATTTCAGTTGAGGTAAGTATGTCTGAAGTGCCCTATCAATTAAGAAAAGTTTTAAAAATCCAGATACCAACTCACAAATAAAGAATATTTTATATTAAAACATAATACTCCACTTGAGAAATTTCAATTCACACAAAATGACTAACAACCCATAGATAAGCTAAAACAGAAGAATTTTATCACCTGTCTTCTGAAGGCAGGTAAAGAAATTTAAACAGTCATAATAAAAGTATCATTTTTTCATTGTAGATATTCAATATATTTTGATAAAAATAATGAAAACTAGAATTTCAGCAGAATTACATCTAACAGATTCTAATTAAATCTAACAGATGGGAAACCCTAAAATAGCAAGTTTTGTAAAATTCATGATGTTATCAAAACAATGATATTAGTTTCTCAGTCTTTTGCTTAAATCATTACTGCAATCTCACTGTATATGACTATTAGAGTTCTCACAGGGGTGTAATTTTAGGAGTTTATAACACCAGCAGTACTTGTAGTAGAACTCAAGGCTTCTGAGATTAAAAGGAATACGACACTGAGATTCATACAGTATGTTTAGGAACCAAAGTGATTTTTTTCAACCAAATAGTATTACATGGGGAAATATGGCTGAGAAATTATTACAAGAAGAAAGCTTGTAATACAACCTAATTAGCTATTGTCCTGATTGTGCTGACTTACCCAGTGGACTCTATGATAGTCATGAGTGAGTCAGGAAAGATTTTCTAGCCTTGAAAGATGGCTGTATTGAACACAGTTGGCTGCATCTTTTGTCACAGCAATGATTAAGTGTGATTTCATCTAACCTTTTTGGTAATAAATTTATGTTCCCTCCCTATTTTTTTTTTTTTTACTCTCTGTGTTCCTGAGATTCTTTTAACCCAGGTCCCCTTAAGGGTAAAAAGGTTCAAATCAAGTTAATTTTGGCCTAGCCTTACATTATGGTCAGATTTCAAACTTGGCTTTATTTTTGCCCTCTTATTAAATAATATATGATTTACCCTCCTATCTTAGCGGCATTCTCTTTTATCTCTTCATAATGTGCCTTTGGCATGATTCCCATAACTGCTGGTACTCAAGTAGAGTTATAACAAATGATTTCAGCATTGCTAGGGCAGTAGGGACAAGATTATGGTTAAGGTAAAAGGTTCCTTTCTCAATTTTTTTACTCCTTTGATTGGTTGACTCATGTTCAGGTACTGTGCCTAAGTATAAAATACAATTTACTTTTTTGCAACTTAAATAGGAGAGTGAGGAAGAACAAAAAGCATGAAGTGATGTATTTGGAAGATGAATATACTACAGTAGTTTGACACTTTTTAAGGCATTCAGTAAATATTAATAATTATAATCAATGTGGACTCTCTGTTCTACTTTCACTACTCCCTGGGCCAACCCAATCTTCCTGGGCCATCATTAAGCACAGTAAGAGCAGTAGGGGTAGCATAAGCAGTAATAGACTGCTACAGGAACTGCAATTCTTAGCCCAGAAAGTCCCTCTTTCCAGCCCTCCCTCTAGTCAGTAACTCCAATGAATAAAACAGGGAAAAAGAATATTAATATGCAACTTTATAACTATTATAATTACAATAACAGAAAGATAATTCTTCTGAAATTATAATTCTCTTGAAATTATAATTCTCTGTGCTAACCAGTATCTCCAGTCCATTCTTACAAGGGTGATAGTCTCTTAATCAGGCCAGATTATTGTACCTGGAAATCATATCTTTTGATCATATGCCTAGACCTACTTCTTTGTCTCATTGTTCTAAGTGTCTTTTTTTTCCTCTACCAGTAATTGCTATACCTTCCTCCAAATATAAGCTTTCTAATTAGTTAACCATGGGTGGTATTTTGAAGAAATTTCTTTCCATTCTATTTCTGTGTATTTTGTCCAGAATATCAAGAGTATGGTTTCAATCAGGACAATTAAAAAGGGATTGTATTAATGAGGAGGAACCAAAACTACCTGTGCTTTGGATACTTTGATGCATGGACTGCTCTCAATATAAATTTACCATTACTTGCAATAGGCACAAACATACAATGTGTAGTTTCTTATATGCCAGCATTTCTCAAAGTGTGGTCCAGGGATCCCTGGGGAGCCCCAAGACACTTTTGAGTCTGTGAGGTCAAAACTATTATCATAACAGTAAGATGTTAATTTGTCTTTTTCATTCTCATTCTCTCACTAGTGTACCGTGAAGGAGACTACTCTAATTTAGTCCCAAGTGGGAGCTTAAATGTGTAATATACCCATCTCAAAGGAGATCATTCTCTATAAACTTAGAAAGCCTTCAATGTGTCATTTTGTCATGCCTCTCCTAAGTAACGCAATGTCTACTTCAACTCTTTACATTAATAGAAATATAAGAAGGGCTTTTCTTCTCAAAGGGACACAAATAATAACCACTTATTTCTGGTAAAGACATTCACAATTGGTTACACCTTATCCTACCTTCACCTGAGGTCCCGTTCTTTATATACTTGCCACTCCAAGTGTGTGCCACGGACCAGCAGTATCAGCAGCACCTGAGAGTTTGTTATAAATGCAGAATCTCAGGCCCCATCCTGAGATTCACGGAACTAGAACAGGCATTTAACAAGATGCCCGAGTGATTGTATGCATATTAAAGTTGAGATTTACTGCTCTACATAACAGTGTGAGAATTCTTTTCTGCAAATATCCTTAATTTTTAGACAGGATAATCAAAATGGAGTTTTCATAATAGCCTATAAATAGGAGAATTATTCTACTTTGGTTCAATGCCAGAAAACAGGGGGATAGCCAAATATACTACTCAACATTCAGCAGTTTAATTAGTTCTTTTTAACAACAAATAAAGTCCTCGCTAATACAAATGAAAAATAAAACTACTTAACACATTACCAACTAATTATTGCATAAATTTGTATATGTGCCATTGCTGTGTGGGTTTTCTGTGCCTGTGAGCCAAATTCTACTGCTATAACATTGGATAAATCAGTTCACAGGTAGCACAGAATTAGTTTACACAGTAATAATCACATCTGAAAAAATATCACACATTAAAATTGATGATGAACAGGACAGTTTTTTTCAGTATTAATTAGGAACGTAGACTTAAAACTTTAGCTTCCCAATATTCTACTGTAGACAACTATCTCAGACTTTTTTTTTTTTTTTTTTTTTTGAGACAGAGTCTCACTGTGTTGCCCGGGCTAGAGTGCCGTGGCGTCAGCCTAGCTCACAGCAACCTCAAACTCCTGGGCTCAAGCGATCCTCCTGCCTCAGCCTCCCGAGTAGCTGGATCTACAGGCATGCGCCACCATGCCCGGCTAATTTTTTCTATATATTTTTAGTTGTCCAATTAATTTCTTTCTAATTTTAGTAGAGACGGGATTTCGCTCTTGCTCAGGCTGGTTTCGAACTCCTGAGCTCAAACAATCCGGCCACCTCGGCCTCCCAGAGAGCTAGGATTACAGGCGTGAGCCACCGCACTCGGCCAACTATCTCAGACTTTAAGAGTTCTGTGGAGATCCCCCCATCTCTCTCTCTCCTTGTTATTGATGGGATTGTAGCAGCTAATGTGTTTCCAATAAGTCTCTTGCATGGAAAAATGACAGTTTTGAAAAATGCTCTTGCAAATTTCTGTATCAGCCTAATAAATTCTATAAGAGAAAAAGGAATCTATACTCATTCCCATTAAATGCTCCTCTTTCAAAGTTGGGAGAAACACACATGCCATTTTTTTAAAGGATTTGTAAAGCTGTCTTCCATCTTCTTTACATATGATCACTCACAAAAACAGTCTGTTTTAATTGAATGAATCATACCAAGTCTGGCAAATTCAGATTGGAATATCAATTTTCAATATAGCCTTATTAAATGTATATTTACATTAAATACGCACATTTTCCCATTGCTTAATTTTATTAATGCATGGTTTTGCTTAATTTTATTCTAATCATTTTCTTTTTTGGTGAAATTACAGTAGCTGGTACTTCTTAATTTTTTTATTTATGGATTTCTTTGTGAATATGATGAAAATCATGGCTTGTAGCTGCATCACTATAATCTCTGCCTCTGTCTTCACATTGTCTTCTTCTCTGTGTGTCTATGTCCTTTTTTCTCTTTTGATAAGGATAGCAATCATCGGCTTTAGGGTTAACTCTAAATCCAGGATGATTTCATCTCAAGATCCTTAACTAATTACATCTTTAAATAGGATCTATTTCCAAATAATGTTAGATTCTTAAGTTCTAGTCATGAAATACTATTCAACTCACTACGCTCATCATTATTTTTGTTACCATTTTTTTCTTGTTCTTACTTATCATCATCATTAATATCATCATCATCACTACAACTTTTACCAATAACCCTGAATTAGCACTTGCTGGCAAGAAAGAGATACTGCTCTAATATCTTAATATGCATTCGTATTGGGGAGGGGTCACAGGCGTTGGAGGACTGCAAGATCACACCCAAGTGTGCTAGGAGGAATTGCAGGACTCAGAATGTAGTTGTATTCATGGCTATGATTTATTATATACGAATATACACAGCAAAACCAGCAAATGGAAAAGCTGCTTAGGGTGAACTCCAGAGGAAACCAGGCCCACACTTCCAAGTGGAGTCACAAAGGACATCCTTAATTCTTCCAGCGTTGAATTGTGACAACACATGTGAAGTGCTGTTTCTACTCATTAGAGACTCAGTGCTCAAGTTTTTATTGGGGGTTGATCATGTAGGCACCCTCTGCTTAGCACATACCAAAATTCCAGACTCCCAGGATAGCGGGTGTTTGGCATAAACCACATTGTACAAATAAATGCTCTAGGTACATAGTAAGTCACTCTTATTAGTTAAGGAATAGTGGGAATATTCCTGAAATCCAGGTTCCAGGATGCTAGGCATGGGCCAACCTTGCAAGCAGGCCTTTAACTACAGTGGTCTCAGGCCTGCCATGTTAGCTTTTTTCCTGCACATATTGTCATATTGTTTCACTTAATTCTCATAACAAAGAAATTAAAGTTCAGTTAGCTTAGATAATGTGTCTAAGATTACACTACTACAAGGTTAGTAGCAAACAGAAACTAGAATTCAAAAGTAGGTAATCTGATTCTTGACTTCTACTCTTAACCACTATACTTGGCTGCCTGGTTTTTGAAGACTAAGTAGTATGAAAGAACAAAAAAGTTACAATAGATTCAAGTTGGAAAAAACCGATAAAGGCAAGTAGCAAGAAGGCTGTGGTTTTATATAGAGAGATTATATAACGGAAACTCAATCAAAATAAAACATGGGTTGAACAAAAACTCAATTGTTTTTGAACAATTGAACGGAAACTCAATCAAAATAAAACATG